GTGGTCCATAAAGCGTAATATTACCCTATGTGTGTCACTGAAATGGTGATAGCCCACAACACGTAATATTACGCTGTGTGTGTCACTGAAATGGCAATGGCCCATAACACGTAATATTACCCTCTGTGTGTCACTGAAATGGTGATGGCCCACAACATGTAATATTACCCTCTGTGTGTTACTGAAATAGTGGTGGCCCATAACACGTAATATTACCCTCTGTGTGTCACTGAAATGGTGATGGCTCATAACACGTAATATTACCCTATGTGTGTCACTGAAATGGTGATGGCCCACAACACGTAATATTACGCTGTGTGTGTCACTGAAATGGTGATGGCCCATAACACGTAATATTACCCTATGTGTGTCGCTGAAATGGTGATGGCCCACAACACGTAATATTACGCTGTGTGTGTCACTGAAATGGTGATGGCCCATAACGCGTATTATTACCCTATGTGTGTCACTGAAATGGTGATGGCCCACAACACGTAATATTACGCTGTGTGTGTCACTGAAATGGTGATGGTCCATGACACGTAATATTACCCTCTGTGTGTCACTGAAATGGTGATGGCCCACAACATGTAATATTACCCTCTGTGTGTTACTGAAATAGTGATGGCCCATAACACGTAATATTACCCTCTGTGTGTCACTGAAATTGTGATGCTCATAACACGTAATATTACCCTATGTGTGTCACTGAAATGGTGATGGCCCACAACACGTAATATTACGCTGTGTGTGTCACTGAAATGGTGATGGCCCATAACACGTAATATTACCCTCTGTGTGTCACTGAAATGGTGATGGCCCACAACATGTAATATTACCCTCTGTGTGTTACTGAAATAGTGGTGGCCCATAACACGTAATAGTACCCTCTGTGTGTCACTGAAATGGTGGTGGTCCATAACACGTAATATTATCCTATGTGTGTCACTGAAATGGTGATGGCCCATAACACGTAATATTACCCTCTGTGTGTCACTGAAATGGTGATGGCCCACAACACGTAATATTACGCCGTGTGTGTCACTGAAATGGTGATGGCCCACAACACGTAATATTACCCTCTGTGTGTTACTGAAATAGTGGTGGCCCATAACACGTAATAGTACCCTCTGTGTGTCACTGAAATGGTGATGGCCTATAACACGTAATAGTTTTCACAGTGTATCACTGAATTGGTGGTTGCCCATAACATGTTTAGGTATCCCTTTTCGTGTCACTGAATTGTTGGTGACCCATAGCACCTACTCGTACCCTTTGTGTGTCACTGAATTGGTAGTGGCCCATAACACATATTAGTACCCCTTTTCTTATCACTGAATTGGTGGTGCCCCAGAACACGGAATCGTATACTCTGTGTAACACAAAATCGGTGGTGGCCCAGGACACGTATGTGACTAGTACCCCTTGTCCTATCACTGAATCGGTTTTGCTCCTGAACACGGAATTGTATACTCTGTGTATCACAGAAATGGTGGTGGTCCAGGACACGTGAACCAAGCAATTTCTTGTCCACGGCTTAAATGTTACATTTTTATTCTTTGTTTTTATCACATGCTACGTGAACCACGGTCAGCAAATAACAACATCGGTCTTTTTATAGACAATGTCTGATTGTGAAAAAATGGCAAATATACCTTATTCGCTAATCGCCTTCGAGATCTCGTTGAGAACGAGAGCGCCGACACGCACTTTGCTTTTGCTCTAAACAGTATTTCATTTCGCTTCAGTGCACCGAATACAGCAACATTAACCTCGGCGTAGAAATCCTGTCATGCTATCAGTGATGCATAACGAGTCATATTTTTGTGATTTATAAACCTTGTAATTCGTTGCTTCAGTTATTCTTTGGCGCTTTGTTTGTAAAGTTCACTTTTATCAGCGGAAAACAGTAACACGTCGTCATGTACGTGCAATGCTTGGACACCGTGCCTAAACTTGTGCTGCCATAACATGCTTTTTGCCAATGCATGTATAGAGAGGAAATTGTACAGGTATTGTAATTCATCGCTGAAACCCATTGTTGTCAAGAAAACAATGCAAGTCGACGTTAAAGGAATTAAAATTACCAGTAAAACACAAAAATCGTGCAATTTCCATGGTAACTTTCGCGTTGGATTATTACTGTAAGACATGGTTAGATTATAGATTACTACTAGGGTTGAATCTAATGTAATAACCCCGAATACAGAATAATGACGTACAGTTTAACCATGGAGGTAGAAAAGAGACTGTTTTTCTTGAACAGCTGTTTGGTGGAACTCAAAAAGATGTGTGTTTCATTCGTATGTGGTCGCAATATGGGAGCTCTGATGGATGTGTTTATCGTTCTGTTCTTTGGATTTACTAGTTCACACGTTCTCATCCATCTGAATTTGGGAACATCATTTGACATTTGTTGTGACAAACACATTTCAGAAATCATTGCTTAGGATAGTAAGTGTGCGCCAATGCTCAGTTTGCGGGGGTTTGTGAACCCCCCTTCTCCCGGAGTTAAAATTAGTAGATTTAACAAGTATCGAGTTGTGGTTGCTCTTTGCCACGATTATACAATTACTTGTTGGCCTCCCCGTAGCAGTGACTTTTTTTATTTTTAGTATAAACTGAAAAGAATGTGCTAAGTTAGTCTTCTTTCATATCAGAATACGGCACACAGCCGAACAACATACGCCGCAGAAGTACACCTTACGATCAAATGGAAGGCTGGTCGCAATGCATGGTGGGTCCATACTATAATAATTGTTTAAGATTCGTTTCAATCGTGTCATTATTTTAACGAATTTGGTCTTAAAATACAAATCCCAGTCACAAAAAACTTATAAAACACTTGTTTTCTCGAAGTTATCCACTAATTCTATGCGTTTCACTTGATTTCAACCCCATATTAATCTGCAACGAACGTAATCTTACAATTATTTGACCCCAATTGCAACACGTATATTCTCAATTGAAGTAGTTTTATCTCCGTTCTGGCAAACGAAATTTTAATCTCGACCAGGGGGATTGGGCTCATTCGTTGTTTTGATAAATGGGACTGGCCCCCATGGTCATCCGGCATACATAACAATCGGACAATAGGGTTTGCGTGAGAAGCCCACAGCAATCATGACAAGGTGCGTGCGAACACATGTAAATGAGACAGCTAGCTAAGAACGCGCACCCCTTTCATCTTATCCCAAAATTGGTGAATTTATGACGATTCTTTACGGGGTACAATGGTATCTCTGTAGCAGCATTAATGAATCCGAACCAAGTCAACAAACCGTACAAACTGTCAAGATCTCACATAGCTAGGTTTCTGTTGGGTCTTCGCAAACCATAACGAAGCCTGTTGCTGAACAAACAGGTACCAGGACATACTAAATTTCTAGCGTCAAATATTAAAATCACTAAATATTCACGTAAAGAAAGCTGATATTTCATTAACTGTAGGTGTAATATATAGGGGAACCCTTGAAATATATTAAAAAAGTCAAGGCCAAATACGATCCCATTCAGTATTTTCAAGTGTGAGTGTTTTCTTCTATACACATGTTGACGCCTCTTGGGAGAAACTGTGTAAACACGCCTTTACGAGTTCATATAACTACTGGACGCTTTACTTACGATTTACATTTCACAACATTTTCTGTTGAGAAAACCATGTTGGTTTACAATCTCGAGAAAACACTGAGAACATTTTTTTTTTATTTGTTTATTGTTTTTTAAAGGTAGTTTCCAAAAAAAAAATGTTTACATAGTTACATTTCTTATATCTTCTAACTCAGGTGTTACAAACAACGGCAGGGTTTGTTACAAACAAGTTGAAAGCAAAAGTATGGGTGAACTTGAGAAGAAACAATGTGATGGCAATACTTTTGTCAATTATTTGTGTGTGTATCAAGTTAAAAAAAATTGTATGAGCCGCAGAACTCGTTTAAATAATATTCCTATAGAGGTGAGGCCTCATTTAATACAATTAATTGCACTAAAAACGGTGACCCGCTCCACGAACACACACACTCACTCACCCTATTGTGATTGTATATTTTTAAATATACTGTCGCGAAAATAAATCTTGAAATTGAGAACCATTCCAGACTCGTACGTGCAAGTTAAACACAATAATATTGTACTCGTCGTCAAATTGCGAAACTGCAAACAATTGACGTAAATATATATTAAAATCTATAGTTCAAAACATGAAATAGAATTAATTTACTATATTTTCAAATCCGGAGGGAATAATTCCATTTCGCGACTGTAATTGCAATTAACCTCTCGTGGTTTAATTACTAGCTGAAACGATTGCGGTCGAAGAGCCAAGCCGTATCTGCCGTCTAAACTGGGCAAGCCGCTCTGCGTTTCCGCGAATTCACATTGTTGAACCAGAATTGAAATGGCTAAGAATACTTCAATCCACGCAAGATGTTCTCCCAAACATTTTCTTCTTCCTGCGGAAAATGTCAGTGTTTTGTTACTGGCTTCTTTGTCAATGGCGGTACCGTTGCATGTAAGAAATCTCTCAGGACTAAACCGACTGGGTTCTGGCCAAACATCGGGATCATGATTAACTGACCATAGATTGAAAAACACGACAGTACCTTTCGGAAGAAAATAATCTTCCAGCGTTGTATCCCTGGTTGTGGCATGTGGAAGACCAAATGGAACGACGGAGGAGTGTCGAAACAGCTCTAGTATAAAAGCACCAGTGTACACTAACTGGTCGCGGTCAGCTAACGCCGGGAGCCGGTCACGGCCAACTACTTTATCCAACTCATGGGCAATTTTATTCTGAATATTAGGGTACTTCGCCAAATATAAAAGCGCCCAGTTGATACATGTAGAAGTAGTATCAAAACCAGCCCCAAAGACGTCTCGTGCGATAGCTAAAATACTGTCCTCGGTGATCCCTATTTCACGTACCAGTTCACGCTCAGTTTCTCGGCTTGATTTAAGTAAGTAATCAATGATATCGCGTTGTTGGCCAGATTTATATCTCTGTCGACGCTCGTTGAGCTTTCTTGACATCCAATCATTTAATTCAGACAATATTTCCATTAACTGTTTAGCTTTCGGGTTTGGGATGAATTTTAACCACGGCATGAAGTCTGTTGGATTCGCTAGACCAACACCGTCATTAAACCTGTCGCTCAATGTAACAACCCGTTGAAGCTGCTCGTCTTGGTGTGCATAGCGTTTCCCAAACGCTACACTACATATGATGTTAGCGGTACATATTTTGATCGCTTGCTGAGGATCAATAATATTCCCACATTTGTTATTGTTATTTGTTAAACCGCTAATCATCTCCAAAATCTCGCTTGATGTCTTACCTTCCAGTGTTTCTAGCTTACGGCCGTGAGTAAATATCCGAAGCGCGTTGTTGCCGATTTTCTTTTGCATTCGATACACGTCTCCATATCTAGCGAACGCTAAACTCAGCCCATCACTTATGTGCCGATATGATGGGAACTGTGGGCGGTCAGCAAAGACAACCGACTGTGACAGCAAAGCCTGTTTAATGCAATGGTAACCATTAACGAAAACTACCGGATAACGACCAATGTGTATTCGGAAAATGTCGCCATATACATATCTCAATTTAGTCATTGATAGATGGGGTTCGCTTCCTAGCTGAAACACGTTACCAAACAGTGGAACTCCCCATGGTCCTTTTAATCGTCTGCCCGGCTGGTAAACTTTCGTTACGTAATATCGCCATAGAAACGAAAGCAGAAGAGTTAGCGTCGTGAAGATGAGAAAGCTTCTCACATTTACATCGAGCATAATTGTGAGCCACATATGGTCAGCGGCTGGAGCCATACTGTATCTAACGAATGGTACCAGATCAACTTGTACAACGACTGAAGAGAAATAAAAAGAGGCCCATTCAGTACTTAATCCAACAACGAAGTGACCAACACAGATTAAATGATGTGAAATAGCAGGTTTGCGTGCAAAGGTCCTATGCAACTATTGTTAGTAGACGGGAGTTGCGTGAGCCGACTCATGTGGACAATATAGAGTAGGCTATATGGGAGTAGTGATTCGTCAACAATGTATGATTCGGGTTTTGTGCAGCCACACAGATGATAGGAAACGATAGAGGACCTGCACGGCAGCCAATCCAGGGGTTCATAACATTCCGATGACTGGTGTAATGCAGCATACACTGCGTTCACTGTATAGTGCCTGATAATTGGCCTGATATTTGCTTCATCCGTTTTTGTCCACTGCTAATAGATCTAAGGTCGTGCGATTCACGGTCCTCTTAAGACCTATACAATTCGTTCTCAGTGTCAGACAATCGCAGTGTATGCCGCTACTCACGTGAATTTTAACCCATGACCCAAGTGGTAACGGCAAGCTAAACAAGTCTATTGACGGGTATTGAGATGATTTATTTGCCGATATAAGAACATTGCTTGGCTTGTATAGGCTATGTGGGGTTGGTTTCTTGATGGCCTTCTTCTAAATGGATTGCGTGCTATTCCATGTAAATGACTTACCCCTAATCAACAAAGACAACAAAGAAGTTCTTTCGAGGCTAACACTTTTAAGAGCGAACAAGGACAAAGAAACACATACTCACAATATAGTGTTCGTGACAAGAACTTTTCCCCAGTTCAGTGAAAAGTTCATCTTGTTGTAACACGAGGTCATTTCAACGTGGGTTTACTTTTCGTTGTTATGATTACTGGCTCACACGGTAACAGTCATTGTTGCCGGGCGCTTCGGTGACCAAAACAGGCGCATTTCAAATTATCTCGCTACAAATCTCGGGTTTAAGCGAAGTTATGGACCTCCAAATCCCACGACTGCTAAGTGTTGTACTTGTCGCCGAACCATTTGTTGCTTGGCGTCTATCTAGCTACACGACCCTAATAAATCACCTAGCCTCTATTCGACTATTTATCAATTGCACTGACCTGCCAAGCACCCTGTGAACAGTTTTGTGCCACTAGGACATTACTTTCTATGTTTTATTCCACTATTAAGTCAATGATTTACTGCTTATTCTAAGGTCAGTCGGACACTCTTTATTCATTGCCATGTGTGTTTTTTTTCTCCAGGTTCCACCATAGCAATTACGCAGGCTGCGACAGTGAGTCAAAATGAAATTAGAATCAGTTTCATCAAGACGTAAACAGAAAAAAAATATATATATAGAAATAAATAAATAAATAAATATAATTAATTAATTGATTGATTGATTAATTAATTAGAAGGCATTAACCGAGCCCGGCACCGGGAATTAGGGCAGGGTGTTTAGAACTAACTGGAGAATAATAACACGCGATGTTGCGGCGATGCCTATAAGCCATCCTCTCCGCCAGGAAAATCGGGGGATAAATGCAGGCGAGTCCATGAGGGCGCTGTTCAATTGGAATAGATTCCCAGACAGGTTGTTCCAAGACGCATTGTACCGATCACCTGGGTTGATTCATACGAAATAAGCGACCTAAGATCATGTCACTTACACGTAGGCAACCACAATACACGATGTTTTAATGCATAAGATGAACCAGTAGTTGTTGTAGTGTTGTAGACATCTAGCCTGTATAGAGGGACATCCTCACGACGCTTTAGGCGTGATTGTTTGTATAGGATTTTACGGTTTCGCAAATGTTTCGCAAATTTATTTCCCGGGAAGTATATTTGTATGTTGACACACGGGTTGTTAAATATGCATATAAACAGTTGTATAAATAGGATAAAAGGTGACTGATAACTACACAAATAAAATTACCTTTAGTTTACAGGAATTTGGCATTGTGTAGGGAGCTTATTGGGGAGTCATCGTAATATTCGTGATGGTATCTTGTTACAGTGTATGAGCGTATTGCATTATTATCAACTAGACTGACATAGATATGTAACTATGTAACTACATTGGTTCACGTTACATTTTCAATATTATATATTATAACGAAACGCCAGTAGCGGATCCAGCAAAATGTATGGGGGGGGGGGGGTCCAAGCTTCGCTTAACATTACGGAGCGAAAATCGCAGAGAAGCTATGCGTAATTCAGATAATATAAATCGGCATGCGTTTGGGGGGGGGGCATGCTCTCCCCCCCTGGATCCGCCACTGCGAAACGCTATCGCCTCGCTCTGACGTTTGTGGAGTATGAAAGTTATTTTCACGATTGGTGCGGTTTTCCCTGTGGTCTTATTTTCACGGACGAAGTGTATAAAAACACAAAATGAAAGCACTGCATTACGAGTCATTTATATTGTAATGGTAGTTATTTACTGTTACTTATTTCGCTGTATATCTACCAGTGAAATCGACTGGATTATCTTCGTTACCCAAGGTCCGTCTTCGAGCACCGCCGTTTGTTGGAGACTGTGATATGAGTAAGTAACCGTGCGATTCGGAAAACATAATGGGGCTCTCATAGTTTGTTACCGGTGTAATTGTTTGTAAAAATCATATACCGTTTACAGGATAGTTTCACGTGACTTGTGTCACATATGCTTCCAAATAACATCTCAGTTGAAATGAACTGAAAAAAGCGCAGACACACGAGAAAACCAATAGTCAACAAGTTTAACATTGAGTATCAACTTTAGAGGGCGCTTTTCGCCAATATAAAGTGAGTTGGTTATTGTTTTGTATGAAAATAGTCTCGAAGCCTAGACCTGAATTTATCAAATTTGAATTTTTGAAATAATATTATCTTCAGATGAGTTATAGTTCAGGTGTCACAATTTTTTCATTCGATGAGACATATTGTTTTTAACGATTGCCCGCAATTCAAAATGACGTCATTATTATATTGAGCAGTAAAATACTAAGACCGCCTACAAATAATGACACCTAGGCTAAACTTTACACCGAAATAAAACTTTCATATGTTGGCCTTTCGGAGATATGTTCACATGTTAAACCATCACTTGTACAATTCCAGCCAGTTGACGATTGTATACAAACAGGGGGTCTCATGAGACCGCTTGCGAATGGGTAATGAAATAATAATAATAGTAATAATATAGATCGTATAGCTCCTGATGTACATCCCATTTGTGTAACTGCATTGTGTTGACTCTAATGAATGCTACATACAGTTGATTATCATCGGTATATTAGTGAAATTCAAGATTGTGTTGGCGAATGATCAGACCGATCGCGAGTAGAGCTATGTATAGTTAGAATAATAGTGGTCCGAGTACTGACTTTTGGGGCACGCCACAGTGGAGAAGAGTTTCAGTGCCCATGTATGGTGATGGATTGATGTCTGTCTATTACATACGAAGATAACTATTTCAGGGCAAGATCATGTATGCCCAAAGTGGATAGACGATCAAGAAAAATAGTGTGGTCGAACAGAACAAAGATGACATATTGTCCTGCATCAAGTAATGTTAAAATGTCATTGTGAACTTTGAGGGGTGCCATTTCTGTGCGGAACTGTCTATAAGCGGACTGTAGTGGTTCGAAGATTGAGTTTCTGGGAAGATATGCATTGAGTGTTATGGCTATAACATTTTCAAGAACTTTGGAGATAAAAGGCAGATTGAAAATTGGTCTGTAGTTCTTGAGAATATCCGGATCAAGCGCAGGTTTCCTTAGAAGAGGTGTCACAGATGGTGCTTTCATGATGTTATGGATGATGCGGTAGACTGGTGGTGAATAGCAGGTTAATGTCAGAAGTATCGGCATTCATGTTACGCATATTGTCAATTTTCTCTTTGAAATGATTGTTGAAGGTTTCAGTAAGCTGATTAACAATGAAATGAGTTGGCAGTGGTGAACTATTATTACGAGTGAGACTGGTTAAAACCTTCTGACCATAACATTTCTTTTCGATAATGTTGGGGTAGTATTTAGTTTTGGCATCGCGAATGAGATTGTTGACAATTAATAATAATAAAACGTTTTTTGAGTGGTGCATGTTCATCCAGTAGCACTGTGAGACATGAATTATAACGTTTATCGATGTGTAAGGATTCAATGCCTTGACGAAAACCTTCGAAATTGCATGCATGTTACGGTACTTAATTATCATTTGAACTGAAGGAGGTTTTGGTAAAACAAGGTGCAAAGGAATGGGAAAATTATCTGAAATGTAGAGACTGTCTACGGTAAATGAACGAACATTGGAGTCTGTATTAGTGAAGCCAAGGTCAAGGATGTAACCATGAGTGTGAGTTCATTTACCTATTGTTTGAGGTGACAATAGTGAACTAAGTCTCGAAATCTGTGTATGCTGGAAACTGACGAATATGAGCATTGTAAGCTGACGACTCTAGTATACCACCAAACACCAATTGCAACATTGTAATACCGTTAAATGAAAGATAAGTGCTGCTTCGATGGAGTGCTATACGATGTGACTACTCGGTCATCAAAACACCAGGATCAACAACACGTCAACTGGGTTGCAATACGTAGGCCATCGGCATAAACGAACAACCGTTATATGTATGGGCAACGCATGAACACGTGTTTTGTATACCCTTCACTTTAACCTTGCGTTCATTGATTCCATCTTTCACATGTACCGTGTTTGGCCGATGAAACGGAGAGAGGCCACACTGATTTAATTTTATGGATGACATCCTCTGAAGACCCCAAAACTAATGCGAGAGGGCGAGAAAAAAAAATCAGCCAAAAAAAAAATGCTGCTAAAACCACAGAATTACGGGGCTATTATTACGAATTTAACCACAGTGTATCAAAAAAACAAGTCTTTATTTGTAGGAGGCACATGTTGATGTACATATTTCGTACTGTATTACTGTCACAGGTATCATCACCTTTGATTTTGAAAAGGCAAGAGGATAGGGCAGATGTTAGCTTTGCCAAAGGCATACACATCAACTCAATAATAAAGAAAAAACTTCCTGTGTTGTATCGAAAAAAAAATAATTAAAAATGAACAATAAGTTTGTCAACAGCAACCTGGAAATTAACTTCTTTGACATTCAAACTACAGCTTTTAAAGTGACACTTCAGATAGACTAAGTGTAGGCACAAATGCTCTGCTAGAACTACTTCAACTATGTAACAAATTATAAGAGGCTCGATATTAAAAAAAAAAACACTAACGTCACCCCGTAAGG